TAGATGATGCAAAGATGTTTTAAACATCTCCAGTTAACAACTTTCAGTTGTTTAATGGACTATATTATCTGCTTTTAAAATGTTGCTTCGTAGAGGATAACAAAAGTAGTTACAATTCTAATTATTTTTTCACAAGCTACATGAATTTACCAGTAATTTATTGATTTCACATATATGTACCTTTCTATTATCACTTACAATTTTGAATATGCAGTAGAATAAATAGTAGATATAACTAGCTCTTTATCGACTAATTTAGGAGGCCAGTTTTAGTTTATGATCTGTTTTAATTGTTATGGCTACTAAAAGCAAGCAACATATTATGTAGATTTAGTAAGGCCTACCACTAACATACTAGTACTCTGAACACATGCTTTTTTTGCAAAATTAATAGTAGAATATCACATTTTATTTAGACTTTTTCATTTCTTTGAAATACATAAGATGGATTTTACTTGGATTATGAAGACGTTACAGAAAAAATACCACGCTGTTAAGTCATTGTTTTTCTGTTGTTGTTTTTTTTTTCAGCCTAAACCAGTCTGCCTGCAGTATTGATTAATATGATTAATATGATTGATTTTTTATTTTTTAGCCATCATTATTTTCACCACATATAAGATATAGACCATTACAGCCACTTCAGTTATGATAATTTTAAGAGATAAAACTTACCCCTTTCTCGTTATCTTCATTTCATAGCTGAAATTAAGTTCTTAGAGCGTCTAAAGGACACCACCGTCACTGAGGAGCAGCCCCTAGAGCTGACCTGCCAGGCCACCAACCCTCATGGCAAGCCTGTCAAATGGTTCAAGGATGGAATCCTTATTGATCCACTGAAGGACCCTAGGTACACTATGAACATGATTTTTAAGAATTGAGATGTAGAATTGTCCTGTAACTGCTAATCATTAAAGACAAAAAGGATTATTTTAAGATGAATGATGATTTCAGTGAAAATTTATTTTGAAGAAGTAAAGTGAGAATATTTATGTACTATTTAAAGTATAAATAATCAATATTTAAAACTTTGAGGTAAATTTTTGCTTTAGAAGTATCCTGTATAGCTTGTCCCACTTAATGTCATCATCCACTACCACTGCTGTCTTTTATATGGGTTTTCTTTTTGATGAAAAGCTTGTGACAGTTAAATTGAATTTCAAATTTTCAGATTTTCTTGTTAAGATTAAACTTCATAGTATTTATTTGACAGGCTAAGGATTAAAAAAGAAGCAGATGGTGTGAACAAGCTGGTTATTGAATCTTCTCAAATGGGAGATGCTGGTGTCTATGTCTGCCGTATTGGAGACAGGGAGACCAAAGCTGAAGTCCTTGTGGAAGAGAGTGAGTTCTTAGTTTAATATTAGTTTTGAAAACTGAAATATTTTTTGTTTTGAATGTGCATGTGTGTGTATGTGCATGTGTGTGAGTGTGAATGAGTGAGAGAGAGAGGGGGGAGGGAAAGTAGATATTGCAAGCAAATAAATCAGATATATTTGTTTTTTATTTCTAGAGGAGAGAGCTCCAGTGATTGACCCCTCTGCTTTACCCAAAGAGATTGTTGTCAAGGCTGGAGAGACCATTGATATCAAAGTACCATACACTGGTAAGATTGATAGTATCATGGCGCATGTCAAGAACAAAAGACCCACACGTTGTATCTTACATACACGCATACCATGCATGTTGATGTTTACTCATAGTATAAAGTCCATACAACATTTGTCAGTATGGTATATGCAACATTCATATGTGCATCCCACTTGTACACATACACCTTGCTGACTCATATTGTATCTACAGATTCAAAGGTGTGTATATGATGTATCTATACACTGAAAACAAAATGATATCTAATCTAGCTAATAAGTATAAAGTGCATATAGCTGAAGATGTGATTTCCTATTGTGTCATGAATTTGGCCAGAATATTTTCACAATTGAAACCGACATCTTTTGTAAGAGAGACTAAAAATTATGTTACAATTAAATCAAAATTTAAGTCAACCTATGCAGTGAAGCCCAAGTCTTATATAATTGTGATTTCTCCAGCCTCCTTCCCTCTGAAAATGATCTGAAATGCAATAAATAAATAAATGGAAAGTTAAATCCTTATTTCTTCATCTGTATACAGCTCACCCAGTCCCAGAGGCTAAATGGGAGAAGGATGGCAAGGGCCTCCACCGTGAGGGAGCAGACTTAAAACACCGCCCAGATAACATTGAGCTGACTATCCCACATGCCACCAGGGATGACACAGGTGTATACAAACTGACTTTGTCCAACAGCACTGGCAAGACTGATATACCCATTAAAGTGAAAGTACTGGGTGAGTAGATGATATTAAAAGTTAAATTCAGCATGGTAAAATATGGTTATTCAAGTTAAAAGGAAGGCAATGTCAATGCCAAATCTGATAATACATAAATTTAATATCAAGTGAAGGCATTTACAAGATTTAATTGATGGTATGTGCATAATTTACATATTATTTTCTTCTGTTTAGATCGCCCATCTCCACCTCAAGGCCCAGTAGACATTTACAGTGTATACAGAGACAGATGCACATTGAAATGGAAGCCACCAAAGGATGATGGCGGCTCACCAATCAAGCACTACATCATTGAGAAGATGGACACAAGCCGTGGAACATGGGCAGAGGTTGGCAAGATTAATGATCTCAAGTATGAGGTGACTGGTCTGACCCCTGGAAAGACCTATGCCTTCCGTATCCGTGCTGCCAATGATCAAGGTGTCAGTGAGCCTATTGGCACAGAGCATGATATTTTGGCCAAAGATCCATATGGTAAGTTTTGGGTTAAGAGGTGAAAAAGAATTTTTCAGATGCTGATATTAAAAGTGGAAATATAGACCTGAGGAGTAAGGATTAGTTTTGTTGTGCCATTGGTTTTTTTATTTCAATTTCATGTTTCATTCAAATTTTTAATACCCTTCTAACTTTCTTATTTTTAATGTAGTGATATTTGAAACAGAATCATATATTTAACTTATGTCAGGTACTATACTGAACATTATGACACAGCTTAAAACATTTGTACATTTTATTCTCCCAGATGAGCCAGATGCTCCCACAGATCTTGAAGTGACAGATTGGGATGCAGACCATGTTGAGTTGGAGTGGAAGGCACCCAAAAATGATGGTGGCTCCCCCATTACAAACTACTTAGTGGAACAGAAGGATAAGTTCAGTGACTGGAGAAGGGTAAGGACTTTGGCATCATACTTGTCCTGACTTTATAAAAATTCAATACCTTTTAGGCTTTTCAGGCAAGCTTTATAATGATGGACTTAAGCATCCTATATGTGACATGATCAACTGCTGTGTCTAACATTTATTAAGAACAATTCATTATATTATTTGTTTTATTGGGCATTCTTTCATATTTTTTTCTTTTTGGCAAGAATGAATGATGTCTGCATCTTGAGAAAGTAGATTTTTAAGTCCAATCAGTTAAAAGAACGCCATCTCATTTTTCTATCCCTTTCAGGTGAAAGATGTCTCTGCTAAAGACACCAAGGCCACAGTTGCTGGTTTGAAGGAAGGCACAGAATACACTTTCCGTGTGATGGCTGTCAACAAGGCTGGACCATCTAAGCCCAGTGAGGCATCCAGGCCTGTCATTGCCAAACCCAGGAGATGTGAGTGGAGTTGAATTAATGTGTGGAAGCTGTAAAGCATTATTATGAAAAGTATTATAGATTTAGACCTACAGTGGCATGTCACAAGATAAATTTTTGACTATCAGAAAGAGGTCTGTGATGCTGTTACAAATAATCATTATCATTATTTTCTTTATGAAGCAATGATAGATTGTATGAAACCACATCATCACATGTCTGAAACTGTGTTCAAAATAAATCTGACAAATATTTTGAAGTAAATGACATTTCAAAATTTGCAAATGTAAATAAACAAAAGATTTCTCTTGTATTCTTCTTTCTGTGTCTCATTCCAACACTGGATCTTTAGTTTCTACTTACTGTTAAAATTTCCTTCAAGTGCCACCAAGAATTGACAGAACTGCCCTCAGTGAGATCCGTATCAAGGTTGGCCAGGCTTTCATGTTCAATGTTCCCTTCACTGGTGAACCTCCTCCGACTCCTGTCTGGACCAGACTCACTCAGGATAAGAAGGTTAGATTTTTTGGTTCCGTTTCATAGTTTTTAGGTTAGAAAGGGGGTTGGCAGCCTATTGCCAGAATTGCCTACTTAAAAGCTAGAGTCCCATAGTGAAAGAGTGCATGGAATATGCTCAGATGTGTAGAATTGGCAGTGCTGTATCCCACCTCAGCCTTACATTATTTCCAAATGAAAAGAAACGTCTTTAATAATAAAACTCAGATTGCAGGTTAATAGAAATATTTGTTGTTTTAGTTAAGATGCTGTCAAAGGTTTATTAATCATACACATTGGTGATTTAGTTAGAGGTGTGACATAAGGATGTATTAAAGTTAAATGTCTCTGTATGTTTAAGATTATTTTTTGAGGAAATATCAATGTTAACCTAAATATTTACACAATTCTACCTGTATTTTGGTAAATTCAGGAACAGGCGGTAAGTATGGGTCTCAGATAAAGTGTAGAAATCCTGAAACACATGTTGAAGTTCAATTCACTTTTTTGAAAATTTGAACACATCAACTCTAATCCATTAAAAAACTAATCGCCACATTGTTTTTTATTATTAATTATTGCAAGAATTGTCTTCTTTTACCTGTAATGAATGAGAAAAATTGTAATAATTCAATAATTTTGAGGCTTTTGAGAGATTAAAGATTGATGTGTTGAAAACTAGCTGTGCAATTGCACATGAATTGGTAATAACCACTGCAGCAGTCAAATGTACAAGATGTACTGATTAATATAATAATGATCACCCCTATACACTCCATTAAATTATTTAAAGGCATTTCTTTAGTTGCTATTTTAATATAAATTGTATTATCAACAATATTAAGTTTAAAAACCTCATATTGTTGATAATACAATTTATATATTTTGTGATTGGAAAACTAAGTTTTTGTAATTTTAAAATTAAAAAATCCTTGCACTTAATGAAAGAATATTCCATACCCAAATTTACCTTATTCTTGAAACTTGCCCAGTTCTGTGATCAATTTGATGTCAAGACTTCTTCCTTTTTACCACCCTGAACATTTTCTTGATTGCCCCCAAACTGTTTTGAACCTTTTCTATTCAATTTCCACCATCCAGGTGACTGATCTATTTGGTCAACCAATGATCCATAAGTTATGGGATCAACCAAACACTTCTGCAGTGGAACTTTACCTTATGCACTTTTTTCTCCCTCACCATTTGCCTTATGCACTTGTCCTCCCACAACAAATGCACTAACCTCCTTATCTCACCTTCATCCACTTCAATTCCCTTGTTTTTTCGTGTTTTTCATGCTGTGGGTGAGTGGTGTTTGAAAGATAGGAGATTTATACTTGTATGTTGCATTTTCATCTAAGCTATACAGCATTTTCTGTGACTTGGGAGGCTTTTTTCCTGATTCCAAAGTGTCATAAAGATGCTTTACCCAATGCACAGGCTGCAGTGGGGACTAGTAATAAACTAAGTGATGATGAAAAATTAAAGAATTCTTTGTACCTTTAAAAGGTATGACCATTTCTGGTAGCCTTTTAAGATTGAAACAAGTAAATTGCCACATGGTATTGAGATATTGTCGGTTTGTAATTCTAGATTAAAACAAAACTTGGTGTGTGTGTGCGTGTGTATGAATGTAGTTGAGGTAGAGAAGTGCTGTGCTTGTCACCCTGTTCCCATCACTACATACCCAATATTTGACTTATTTTAAGATATTGATAGAACCTAATAATAACTGTTAATTGAGAGTTTTATTTTAGAAAAATATTTCACAATCCTTATTATGGTTGTATACAAATTCAAGAATATTTTCATCTTTATGGTCAGCTTTCATGTGCACAGCTATATCTAATACAAAGGTTTAATTTTCAATTGAAAACCAAGTAAATGAAATCAATGCCACAACCAGAATAACAGGGTGCTATGTTTTAAATTTTTTCTGCAGGACATAGGTGACTTTACAGAGGAGGTATATATATTATGGTTATGTGTATGCCATGAAGTTTGATCCAGAGGTCATTTATTCTTTTACTAATTTTTATTTTTTGAAATTAAAGTATAATCATAGATTTGACAACATTTGTAAAAGAATATGATCTCTGATGGCCTTCTTGGCTCAATTATATTCTTCTTCTTCTTTTTCTTTTTTGAAGGATGTTCATAGATTATAATAATATGTAGATGGCTTAACATCCTTGCTTATTATATTTGAAAATTAGATTGCATAGATGCATTTTGCTACACTGTAGACTAGATATTTTAGTCTTCAAGTTAATGAGAGGGAACAATTGCTCATTGTCAGTTCAAGTAAATTGGTATATTGTTTAAAAAAAACATCAATTATATCCCTGGTCAGTAACTTGAAAACATTTCACAGCTAATATAATGCTTTAATGTTAGTTACAAGTTATAAATTTTATGCTATGCCATAATGATCAGCCTGCAACTTCTCTCTCTCTCTC